CCACATTGTTTCTGATACAGGCCAGGATGCTATTGGCCTTCTTGGCCACCTTGATGCACTCTGTCTTGAGACAGATTACTCTTACTGTGCTAAACAGTTACATTTATCTGAAGTTGAGCTCATTGATATGTTGTAAATTTTAAAAACAAATCAGTTAATTTTGCAGCATTGGGATAATTTCTTAGCATGTTGTTTGAAGTTGTAGCATCTTGTAGGTTCAGCATTGATTGGGTTGCTCCTTCTAGTCCAGTTTGTGGGAAAATTGTGGACTCTCCATTATGTTCTCTAGTACGTATAAAGTAGGAACACCCAAGCAAAGTTAGTAGGAGTCACATTCACAACAACCAGAAGGAGAAAGCTCTTTACCCAGCGAGGGGTAGACCTAGTAGGACTCAATGTCCCAGGGTGGGGTTTACAAGAAATTTACAAGGGGATTGAGGGAAAGCTGAACAAGTAATATATAATAAAGATTCATTGGGAGTTACTAGATTGGTAGTCTACACCAATTTTAAACTCTGCTCAGGTGGAAATATTTGGAAAATAAGAGAGTTGGAAATTAAGGAGAGAAGTCACCGTTTTGTATGTTTCCCTACATGTCTGCTAATGGTCACTGTCGGAGGCAGGATACTTGGGCTAGATAGATCCTTGGTCTGAACCAGTACTGTTGTTCTTACATTAAATAAACAAGGATTGACATTTCCAGTGAGAAGGTAAAGCCGATCTTTCACAGAGGTATTTGTCACTAGAGCAATTGCCAATTAGTTAACAAGCTAATGTGGTGACTTCTAAAGGTAGTAAAAACTAGTGTGCATAAAAGTAGTTCACAACTTTTCACTAGGACTGTGAGGGCACGATAATTCATTTAACTGTGTATTTGGGCTTGTTAGTGATGGTTTTTCAGTTCTTCTTCAGACGGACTGGTCTTTTGTGATCTTGAAACCTCTAAAATGCAAAGACAATTCAGTTGCTTATTAAATAACAGCAGTGGTTTTTTTGTAGTCTTATGTCACTTAATGTTTTACTTTCCTAGCTCAATGTCGATTGCAGCAAGCCTTGTGAGTGAAGATACAAAGACCAAGTTTTTGAACAAAATGGGCCAGCTGACTACATCAGGTGCAATGTTGGCTAATGTGTTTCAGAGGAAGAAGTAAGATGGGAAAAGGAACTCCCAGCTAACACTAAGATGGACCTCACAGAGACTGGTTCCTGTACTTGAAGTACTTGCCTTTTAATTTCTTCTGTCTTATGTTCTTGTAGTATAATTTTATTCTAACCTCCAAAGATATTTGCACTGCTTTTGAATATCGCTGTGTATCTGTTAATTTTGGGTAAGTGTGGTTGATACAAAATTGAAATCATAGCCTGTACCAAGTCCCTGTTCTGTGTTCTTGTCTTTCCAGCATTTTTTTTTTTATATAGTGGAAGGATTTTTTTTTTTTTAATTTCTGACAGGATATCAGCAAATATCTGTATTATACATGGAGCTATTATGATGGTACTTAAAATAATGTAAATTTGAAGTCCTTGTCATGAAGTAATAAAAGTGGAGATTACTTATGTATTTAAATTATGAGAGAGTAATGCAGATTTTTTTATTATGTTTCTAAAAAGAAGAAGAAGAGCCACCAGCATTGTCTGTGCTTCTAGGGTTGTTTTTGTAAGTATTGTGCATCTTGAATCCAGAGGAATTGCAGTATCTAATGTATGAGACTGCTTGCACTGCATCAGTCTGCAGGGAATGCTCATGTTTCAGATGCTTTATGCTGACGTTGTAAATGCTGTACAAAGTCCTTCAGATAAAATTCTCACATCTGTTGTGGTTTTTTGAGGGATTTTTTCTTTTGTTGGGGTTTTTGTTTTATTTTAAAGCACTTTAACAACCAGTCTACACATCCAGAGGCACATCCACTAAGTAAAGGAAAAACATGATAAATTAATAAATGTTAATAAATGTATAAGCCACTACACAGGGGTCCCGGTACAGTTCTGCAGGCAGAGGAAACTTATGCAGGAGAAAGAGTGCTTTCATCTTGCACTCAGTGTGCAGTTTGGTGTACTGTGAAAGTTAAAATTAAGGTATTTTGTTGTTTAGATTGAATCTCAGATCAAATTTAATTCCAGAGTATTTGAAATTATGTTAAGAGAGTTTGATGTGCAGTTTCTTTAAAATGTTAAGTAGACTGAATACATACTTTATGAAAATGACATTACAAGGAGTATCTTCAACAACTCCCAAATATTTTTGTTAGCAAGGAAGCATTAACAACGAAATCCTTTTATTCTTATGCAGCACTTTTTTTTTTCCTTCTTTATGTCAGTGTAAGCTTCTGAAAGTAAACTCAAGTGCATGCATGAACTGGTGTGAGGTAGCAAAATATAAAAGCTCAGGCATTCTCTGACACGGTACCATTCAGTTGGAAGTATTAACATCTTTGAGGACAGGGGAAGCAAAAGGAGTGAGGGAAGAAAGTAGTCATTTCTGAAACAGAATATGGATGGAGTAGCACTTCAGGTATTCCCTTAGATGGAAATAATGGAGGTAATTTGAGGCTTCTGACTGCTTTGTGTCTGTGCCTGTTGGCTCTGCATATACAGTTGCCTGCCATCTTTGTGTTGTGACAGGGCCTGCTGCACACTTGCACACTGTCGATCCCTTTACACTGCACTGATGAAACATTTTTCCTGAGATTACAGACAGCTCCATGCCTTCGTGTTGCTTGTTATCATGAAAGTATACTTTTAGCAGACTGACTGTGAAATGGAGACATTCCTGAGGAATGGGAAGTGGTGACGTTCCTCTCTATTGTTCTGTTGTCAATAAAAAGTTTTGTATACCTGCCTTGTCTTGTTACTTTTAGTCTTCTCCAAAAAAGATTATCACATCAAAACTGCTGTTATAGGAGAGAGGTCTAATGCGCAGAAATTCTCTAGCCTTCGCTTTTTTTACATAGCAGATGGTAGACTGAACTTGCTAAATTTCCTACCTCTATGTGCCTGTTTCACTCTGGCTTCTAGTCGTGTGGCTTTATTGCCATTTTCATGCAGGGTCTCCTCCTCTCCTGTGCCACACTTTACGTTTTTTTTGCCCCCCTCTTCTGTGTCTGTTCCAGTAGTTGCAGTGCCAGAGATATCTGAAGTCATGAGACCAAAATGACTTCTTTATGGTTAAACTTCTACTTTCCAAAGCAAGGCAGCTGCTTGCAGGCTGCCTGTGAGAGTGGCTCCTAGCCCACACTGAGCTTCAGCCATTGTTTGGAAACCTGCTAATGAGCACAAGCAAAAAAAACTGACAGAAATTTAACTATGATGATTGTGGGATTAGACCCTTTAGTTTGTTAGTATAAATGTAGCATCTTTGCCCAGCTAGGTCCAGTCTCTCCAGCCCCTTGCAAAGTTTAGCTTTTGCTTCAGCATTTTACTTCGTACCAGTTGATCCAAGGAGGAATTTGAGTGAGAATCCCAGAAGACCAGCATGGTAACTAGTGAGGTGAGAAAAAATTCTGTATAGGCAACTAACCTTATGCAGGTTGTCTTCAGGAGTTTTGCCTCCTAAATTTCAGGTCTCTGTTAGTATATGTTAGTTGCAGGATTTTTTTTAAATGTTTGTTAGTTTACCAGATATTGACAGATTTTCAAGATTGCAGGAAGTTGTTCTGTGTGGGTTTTGGGGATGGTTTGGGTTTTTTTCTCTTTTTTTTCCTCCTAGCTATAGCACTGTAGCATTCAGGATTGGGAAAGAAAAGAGAGAACTCTTTAAAGAAAAGAATTGCCACAATATTTTAAATTAACTCTTTTTTTTCCTCCTGTTACTCTACAAAACAAGTTAAGTGAACCTTTTGGGAGAAAATGCTTCATTAAAAGAAGACAGTTGGATATGCAGCATGGAAAGCAATTCATCTCCAAAGGGTTATCTTCAATTGCTTATGACTTTGCCTAAATAAGGATTCTGTAAAAAACCAAAAATGTTGGCTTTATTAGCTCTGCCTGAACTTCTACAACTTGTTGGCTTTAAACAGAGGATATGTTGAAGGTCTCATGCTGCCCCTAGTGAAATTTCAGAATCTTAGTATCTTTATTTAAAGGATTGACTCTTGTGCTCCTAAGCAAAGACGATCAGTGGGCTCAAGGTTTGTGGCTGCCGGAATGAGTGTTCATGATCTAAATATGTTTTCTGTAGAATAAACATAAGGCTGACTGATACTATGCGTATGTTTTGTTCTGAAAGATCGTTTTCTAAAACTATAAATGAAGCAAATTACTCTTTTCTTATCTTCTAATCAAGGTGAATAAAGGGAGCTCCTTAAGAAAAGCTGCACGTTCTCCTTCTGTCAGTCTCTTCCCACTCCCCTTTCTCAGCAAGAAGAGAAAAAATGCTGCTATTGCTGTACCTAAAAGTACATTCTGGTTAGGAGAACTAAAAGCAGTATTTGATGGATTCAGGGATCGAGAAACTGAGGAAGCTGATGTTCGCAAATTAAAATCTTAAGATTGAAAGATAAAAATTATCCATGAAAAAAATCTGTTGTGAAGAACAAGGAGGAGTTTTTGTAATATATTGTGGGAATTCATTGTTACATATGGATGATAAGATGATTCAAAATGGTGCAGAAACAGCAGAAGTGTGGAATATTTCTGTTCTCTCTGTTGTGACAGTGTTAATGGCATTTTTCTGATCCAGGAGTAAGTGGCTCTACGTTTTAGTGCGGTTTCTAAAGGCAGCTATCATGCATTCAAAATGTTTTAAGTAATTTCCCATGTGAAACTTACTGATACTGATATTTAAGTAAACCATGAAGTACCAGCAAAGCTTCGTGGAGCAGAAAATCCTTAATATGCTGATAGAGCAAGCTGATTGGTATGGCATTGATCCTAGGTAGAGTCACAGAATTTCTGGCATCAGATGTAAATGCTGATGAATTACAGGATTCCAGTATGGTGCCAGGTAACAGGACTTCCAGGAAACTGGTTTGGCGCTTTACTGAGTGCATTTGGCTAACATTTCTAGCAAATGCATTCGGATGTGTAGCTAATTTGGTTTAGACTGTAAAATCGGTCAACAGAGGCATGGAGGAGTGCTGTTGAATAAGTAGGCTAGTCAGGTCCTGGATGTTGGTACTGAATGCTAATATATCATGTGTTAACTAATCTCGGTGAGTAACCATGAATGAGTAATCATTTTCCAGAGAAGCTGTTTCTAAAGTGTTCTGCCTTTAGGTTTAATGCTGATCAGGTTTCATGCTTATAGGTAAGCTGTAAGAAAAGATTATTCTGCTTGTGGAGTTTGTAACAGGCAAGTCAGTGGTAAACAGCCTATATCTTTGGAGGCATCTGCACTATATGCTGAGCTTGAACTTCCATCATACTTCTAGTGTGAAAGACTTCCTTAGACTGAAGATTTTTAGTTCCTAGAAACTTGGAGCATGAGCAGTTCTACTGTAGAAGTCAGTGACTTGAAAAGTGTGACTCACGAGTTGGCGTAAAGGGCCAACACCATGACAGTGGTCTGTCTGGTTCTTTTCCCAGCACTGGTATTGCACTTTGCTCCTCACCGCGTCGCTCATTCACCGTATTTCAGGCTGGTCTGTACCCTAACCTCCAACTTTTCTATCCCACAGAGGCAGATACCTTTTTAGTCTACCATTTAAATACTGTATGCATAGAAATAGGGCTGTTTGCAGTGTATTTGAATATTGCCATTCACAAAATTATTGTGATTATGGTCTTGTGCTGCTGCTCTTTAATAGAGATTTTTCCCATTCCCCAAAACCTGAGAAACCTCTTCAGCTTCAGTTGCAGCTGAG